ACAATGACCAATCATCAATTCGTTCAATTTGTTCGTGGTACGCACTAGTTTTATTTTCTCTGGGAAACAAAATAATTTACAACACGATGACGAAGAGCAATGGATTATATATTATTATGACGTGTGCATTATAAACCTAACCTCTTGAGACAGCCTTCGATCAATATATTTTACCGACCACCATCAAAAGCTGCGTGGAACAACGACGGCGGCTGTCTTTTATTTTTTTGTAAGTGCGGTCTTCACGGTAGAACTCAACTACACTATATTATAATGGTATATACATATAAGTAGAGGTGCATATTATGCGGACAACGCTTGAGTGTTTAATGGACGAACGAAAATGGAGAGAAAGAAAGAAAAAAAACAAACACGTAGATCTTATGTGTGCGCAAATAACGGTTTTGTCGAGGCGATAACAACGACACTGCAGAATAATATAGTATGTAGTGTTATATTATTATAATATATACGTATACCGTTCACAAGGATATAACGTTCTCACCGGTCACGGGCGCTTAGGATAATAATATTATTAATAACAGTAATAATAAAAGCCGAGACTGGCCGACGACGACACTTTATCCCTTCGCATTTTCTTCTCGCGCCAGTGACAGATTGTTTATACACGTACACGCACTGCAGTGTACTAGCTCTTTTGCACATTCGAGTACCGTAATTTTTTTTTATTTTGTATACACACAACAATAATAATATGGTCCGTGTTACCTTATATAAGCGTCGGAGAACAATGGACGGGCGACACGCATCCCTTTCACACTCGAAAAAAAATAATAATAATAAAGAAGGAGAATGAAGAATATTATATAAACGACGATGACGACTGAAGTGGTTTTGCAAAACACGTCTACAATATTAATGATGATCGGGTGCTCATAATATAATGTATATAGGGGACGGCGGCAAAGGAGTTTCGAGGATCTCGGGATAGGGTCAACTGGTGTGTATATATTTACGGTTAATTTGTCAATGACAAAAAGACGTGGTGCATCGAAAAAAAACCGAGAGAGAAAGAGCGAGTTAATATTGTTCCGGGGATTAGGCGGATGACTTTGATTAAGTTTCGGCAGCTGCCGTTCGAGAAAACCGTTTGGCGTGTTGCCAAATCACGCGCGTGCATGTGTGTGTGTATTTTTATAATGTTTAAGACCACTGTTTAAAGGAAGATGAGCCTCCGTCTGAGCAAGCTTGCTCTCGTTTTTGTCATGTTGTGCAATCTGATCGTGGGCCAAAACTCTGCAGTTACCATCGCCATCATCAATTCACTTAAAGAGGTACCTGTATATATTGCGCGTCTTATTGTAACAGTAGAATATAGGTTAAAATAATAATAATATAAAAATCGCTTTGGCAGAAAAATATTAATCAATAATCGTCGTGAAATAATATTTTAGAGGCGCGTAGATATTGCAGTATCATTTGACATTTTAAAAACCATTTACAATATTACGCGTAATGCGCTATGAATGGGGAGAAACGATTTCCCCCAGACCGACCGGTGGTTTCACAGAAACTTTACAGGATTTTGGTTTTTTTTTTTTCAAAAGAATTATTCAAGTGTGTAATATTTCATAGTTTTGTGACAGATTCTTAAACGATCAAAAACGCGTCTTCGTCACCCCCCCCCCCCCACGGGATCGATACATAGATAACGTATAATTTAAACGTTTAAAACATTTATTTATGTAATACCTATTTTATTATATTGTATTAAAAATAAAAATAGAATACGTTATAATATCGCTTCGGTTGAACGAGATGCTAAAGGCTTAAGAGGTCGGTGACGACAAATTCGATTGCGATCCGATTTGCCCGTGACCGCTTTTACACGTATAATAACTATAATATAATATATATATGTAAGTGTGTATGTGCGTGTCCCAAGTATGCGTACCTCGCGTGTGGCCCGCGCGCACACGGTGGTGTAGATATATGTATTACGTAAAACTAGCGTAGTCCGTTGTTCCGGAAGAAAAACGCACACACAGCAAATAAAAAATTGATCAACTATTTGAATAATACGAACGTCGGGTATAATATTGTTATTACGTATACGGGCGATTAATAATAAAATATGAAATAAAAAATACGCGTCACCGAAACCACTACTGCCGCCGTCGTCGTTGTCGTCGTCGTACGAGTAGCGGACACGCGCAAGAGATATTGTCGTGTCGAAGATTCGGTCGCGGGTGTACGCGCTTGTGCGGGTAGAGTATTATAATAATATAATATGTACGTATATACATAAAATATAATATGTACTATATATAATATGTATATACTTATTATGTATATAATATCGTAAGCCCGCTTCTGAATTAGGAAGCCGGCCAATTCGTGCGACGGACGAAACCGGTCGCGGTCGGTGTCATCTTTTTAAACGCGTGTAATATATAATAATATAATAATAATATAATATAATACACGTAAAAATTCACTGTCCGCGCGCGTTAAAATATGATCTCTCCTATGTGCGCGTGCGTTACACAACAGAACCGAGAGCAACCGAAATAATATCCACAACGACATACAATATGAAACATAACGTCATGTATCTCTTCTATAATAGTATATAATATAATGTATAATGTATATTGTAATAAACTTACTGTCACATACCCGCGTACACGTATACCTACGCTACATACGTAATGCAGCAGCGGAGAGGGGGAGTCGGACGACCGACTCGATATTATATACACGTTATATTATATTAATATTATCTTTATCCCGTGCTGCAGCGCCCGCTCCGGCGACTTCTTTTCCACGTTATAAAACGCGCGTTCGATAGCGATCGACGATGACGACCGTTAATTTAACACAATTTATATACGTGTCCGGAGAGTAGTCTTCCGTTCCGGTAGCGTCTCGAGTGCACCGTGTCCTGGGTGGGCTGCTGCGTCTCTCGTGGAAAAAAAAAACAATCTCGGGAGAATACGAGACGACCCACGACATCGCCTACGCGCCCGCCAGATGCCGCCGTTCAGATATTTCACCGTCGCTGATTGGCGCGGTCGCGTAAAATGTAATTGACCGTCCCCGGCCGTCGCGCACGACCGCGGTATAAGCTCGGTCGTCCGTCGACGACCGCGGTATACTTAATTCCGCTGTCCGTCGACCGACGGCGGTACGTACCTATACGTGTCGCGATGCGAATTGCAGAGACGACCGTCCAAAAATCGAATAAACCGCGTTATCACACCGCACAGCCAGCTTTCGTCGTCTGGAGACGGCCCTGTGGTAGGTATAAATAGTTTATCACCTATGGTGAACGGCGGTAGATCAGTTGCCGATAAGACGCGCGCGTAGGCGCACACGATCGATACCGTCATCGATGACTATGGGTTTTCGCGAAAACGACGGGTACCCTCCCCCCAACGTCGTCACCGCCGCCGGTGTTCATATGGTTATTACTTATTACTTATTAATTATTACGATTATTGACGTTTAAGATGAGATGGTTAAGCCATGCGTCGAAGGGTGGCGGTGGGAGGGGTAAAATTGAATTGAGTCCCAAACATTGAATTATTAAATCCCGGTAATACTTTTGGATTATTGTAGTTGAGTCCGATCAATATTCTTAGGTTATTCGAGTTGAGTCCCTTTTTAAATTTTAATAATAAGTATAAAGAGTCAATTAATTTAAAAATATTAGAAATAACAAATAAATAAAGGTACCTTTTATCAAGAGAATATTTTTTATCGACAATACTTAAAAAAAAAAGAAAATTTTTTCATAATGTATAGATATTGAAAAACATAATTTGGAAATTTCAAGTACATACTTACCTATCTTATTGTTTTTGGAAATATAAAAGAATATTAAAATTTCTTCATCCCGGTTAGGTTAGTAGGTAGGTATAATTTTGAAATTTTATCTTTTCGCACTCGACTCAAAGATATAAATATAATAAGCCGGACTCGATTCAAACACATAAAAGTAGCATATGGACTCAATTCAATATCACCGGGCGGCGGGAGGAGGAGAGCTTCGCCGGTAGCAGTACCGAAATAATAACACCTCTAATTATTTCGTGACTCGGAGCAATTGTGCACACGTATTATAATAATTAATAAAGCAGTTAATTATTACACGTCTCCTTATAACGCGCACGCACACGGCCAAACACAACGCGCACAATATTACATTAAACTGATTCCTTCGACGCGTAGTGTTTGGCGTTAAGCGGGCGCGTATACGCGGAAGAAACGGTCGGTCGGCCGATATTACCGGCGGCGTACGAATGATGATGATGATAATAATAATATACCTATATAATATTAATCTCAATTAGTTAGCGTGACAAAAAAAAGTAAATTGGCCGTTGTCGGACAGCAATACATATACAATACAATATATTATTATGTATAGCAGCTCTGACCGTGCGGTGTGCGCGCCTCTCGTGTGTATATAATACACGAAACGATAACGCATGAAATATCGACAGCCATTTATTTCGTCCTCGGCAATGACGGGTAAAATAGCATTCGTCGAGACGCAGAAGACTGCAACGGTGTGTACCACCTGTGTACTTGCGATGCAATCAAGAGTAGTACGTAGTAACTATAGTAGTTATTGCGATTCTGACAAAACACGCGCGTGTGCGCCTATGCCAACGCCGTAATTGCGTGTGCGATGTATTACGCGGTAGTGTATTAAATGACAATAATGTGTTAATGTCAACCCAATATTATTATCGGTAGGTTTCCATGACCGGATCTATCGGAAATAATATTAATAATAATAATAATAATATATATGGTTCGACGGTTTAAAAATATGTACCTATACGATGTAATCACAATTTCGATGCGTGCTCGTCGTCGTTTGAGGATACGTTGACGCCTGCGCGAGCCACCTCCTCGTTTTTAGTCGGGTATACCTAGCGGTTTTTTCTGCCGTTTGAAGAGGAAAATTATTGTTTTATTCATACACTTACTTATTGTTTATTTTATTTATACATTTTTTATGCTTACAGATGAACCAACAGTGCAAAGTTTGCGGGGAACCAGCCGCCGGTTTCCACTTCGGAGCTTTTACTTGCGAAGGCTGCAAATCGAGTATTATTTTGAAAATAAAATAAAACCGATACTTATCCGTGGATTGCCCGTTTGAGTCGACACTGCAAAAAATGAACATAGAAATGAAAAAGTGTAATCTCCATCTTATTGGACTTACTATGCGTTTCAAATAGTGTATATGCGACAAAAAATATAACATAGTAGTGCGTACAGGGTGCAGCTGAGTAAACGGCAATATTGATTACAAGTCCTTTTTATTTCTTTGCCAACTACAATACATTATCATCATCGGTATCGTTATAGGTATTAATGTTTCCAGTCAAACGCGCGACGCCGTGTGTTTTGATGTATATCGTTGTACATATTGTTATATTGTAATTGTACGGTTAACTTTCGATTATCTACGATGATCCGGTACGTCCGGCAATCCGGCTATATTTTATTTCTGCTTTTACAATTCCTGCTTAAACGACTATACGAGAAAAATATCTTGAAAGTGTCACATTTCAAACAATAAATAATTTTCTCAGACCTTTCCCGTCAAAAAATTCATTCGACACAACGATAAATAATTAGGAATGAGATGAATTAAAGGTTTTTCGATAAGTGAATACGGCGTTTTCGTTAATCCGGCAGTTCTCCTGGTGTATTAGTTGCCAGATTACCGAGACTCTATACTGCACGGACATTACATATCGAGACACAAAAACAATCGCTGACCGTTATTGCAATCGAAAATCGTTGCCATACACAATATATACCGTGCTGTGTTGAAGCCCATTAATTATAACAGTGTACCTACCTACGCGTTTCGATGGAATGTCGCGTTGTCGACCGTCGTTCGGGTGACACCGAAGGGGGGAAGACGTTGTTGTATGACGACGTGTGGCGTACAACCGTATCTGTCCGATGGATTTACGCGGATTCAAACGACGGATAAAAATAAAAAATTGCGTACCTAAATCGCTGGCACGAAACACAAACGCCGCGTGTACCTAGAATATTGCACAATAATATTATACAAAGACGATTATTATTATTTTTATCATTATTATTATTATTATTATTGTTTCGGATGGAAAAAAAAACGTTCGTTGCGTAACACACGCCGGATGAATGTCTCTCGCGTCGCTTACAGCGGTATCTCGGTTGCTTCGTATACCGACGATGATATTGTAAACGTATGTAGTGTAATGGTATAAGAAGACTCATTGGCCGATCGTTAGATAACTCGCTCGCCACGTGGACTAACGTGTGTGTACTGTGTATACGTTACCTACCTCCTCCGATAAGTACACTTCATGAGATAGAGTTAATTTCGTGACACGATTTATTTGACCAATGTAATGTTATTATTACCGTGCCGGCCGGGCCGTCGTGTGACTTTCTATTTTTGTGTTATTATTATTATTATTATTATTATCGTCATCGAGATGATATTATTGTATGCATTAAGGCGGACCGAAAAGAAGAGTAAGGAAAGAGTTCTAAAAAAAAAAAAAAACAACAACAACAATAAAATAATAATAAAATGTCAACTGCGAGCGTCTTTATATATGCGTTTGTATATAATATACGTACGCGTTCGTATACATACCGGTTGGATTTCATCGGTGATGGTCCAGTTGTGGTGCGGTCTGCAGGTCGACGCGGAATGCGGCATCTTCGCCTACATCTATAGCGGTGTAGAGTACATATACATATATAAATGTGTGTAAGTGTGTAGTATATTATATTATACATACACGTGAGACAAATGTCAAACCGATTGAAAATAATAATAATGCGGATGAAAAAAAAAAATATAAATAAAATGAAACCTGGCGCGAGCGTTTTACAACCTACCTATAACGGGCTATATAATAATATTACTAGGTATATTATTATATTGCAGTATTCATCTTGCTGCCTGCCATCTCTCTTTCGCTCTATACCATCAGCTATCGGTGACCTAACTAATTCACCATTATTTACAAATTGCTTTTATGTGCAAATGGAGTTGTAAGGACCGCGAGCTGGTTCTCGTCTCCTCACTCATCTCTTATTCTGCGCTGCACTCTCCGCGTTATTCTTGGAACCAACAGCATCCACTCGTCTGTAGCATATAAATAATATAATACAATGCCGGTGCAGGTGCAGGTGACGATCTGACGATAGTCTCTTGCGCGCCCTTGCGAATAACGTTTTTTTCTCATATTCATTCGTGTACAGCCATTCGGTGACTCGCGATGTGTGTTTGTGTGTGTGTGTGTGTGTGTGTGTGTGTGAAGAGTAGTATAGAAGTTATAGTTATGCACCGGTTGGAAATATTTAAAATTGTTCAAACACAATGGACATATGCATTTAATTATATTTAGTACCGTTGCGTCAGCTCCACACGGTATGTGTACGGACCCACAAGAATTTTATGGTCTTCATCCACTCTCGTTTTTCACCTTCGTCGCTACTACTATACGCTCACTCTTTCCGTCGACCGCACACACACGAAATAAAAGTGATATTTATTTTCAAAGCCATTATAATATACGTATTATATGGACAAACCACATACGCGCGCGTCTCACCCGAGATAATAAAAATATTTATTACATAAATATCGATTTCACAACAAATACCTCTTGCTCTTCATATTTATATAAATATGGTGACACAAATTTACTTCCCGGAACGTGTTTGATGACTTACATCGAACATAGTTATTTAACATCTACAGCCACAACCTCGTTCTCCTAGAAAAACAGTGTAATACAGTATGATAAAAAATCTAAACCCTGCGATTTTAATTTAAAAAACTACTTTCGGTCGTAATAACGCTATTGTCAATGGCATGCTTGGGGAGTGAGGGCAAAACATTAAACAGCTTTTTTTACTCAATATTTAATGCGAAAAGAGCTTGAAGCACTAAATGAATATCTATGCATATAAGTATACGCATGCTGCTTATGGCCGAATCACGAATACTGATATTTGAAACTATGGTTTATTAGATTACGAGCACGATACAGAGAAGACTCGATTTCGGCATCCACGAACCGTTATTACTTATTGTGGATTACCTTTAGCGATTTACTTATTGAATTATTGATAAATGATATAAAAATAAATAAATAATGTTTAACTGATAACATCGAAGAATGAAAACGAAAATTGTACATTAAAGTATTTCATTAATCATATTTTAAAAAGGAAATCTCCCGTTGCTCCTCCCCCACACGGGCGCGTCACTGCGATTTACCCTCTCGGCGCGCATTGTGTTTTCCTAAACACCCATCGTGCCTAAACCGTCACAACGATTAGGTACTCGTTTCAATTTTCAAAGTGACGGCGGGCGGCGGTCGCTAGCTCGTATTATACAAATTAAAATTTGTTTTTCGTTTGTACAATATATAATAATATAATAACTACGATTTAGCCGTACAACGGTATTTCACGTACGTATATAGGTATAACCCTCGAGGTACACTTAATAGCCGAATAATGCGTGTTTATAATGTTTATATACATACGCGTATATTGTATTGTGTGTGTGTGTGTGTGTGTGTGTGTGTGTGTGTGTGTGTATATTATAGTTATAATTGTGCTGTTTTCGTCGGCCATTCAATAGAATATAAGAATAATAAACCGTAAGTGTATTCGATCCAAACACACACACATACATACATCACACAGTTGTACGGGCTATAATATTATTATAACATTCATTCATTCGATCGCGATACGAAGATTTATGATTAATACCGATTCGTATTTAACACACGCACGTACAGGCGCGCGCGATCGCACACACAATTTATATATATATATATATAAATATATTATGAACGCATAATATAATAATAATATGTATATACAGATGTGACTCATTAGTCTTTAGATGCCTATCGCGGCCGGGTTAAGTCTCCGTACCCATATCGTTTTGGCGCACGAAGACACACACACACACACAATATATCGACCGTGTGATCTATCGTTTTTAATAACGTTCGCCGCCGTCGGTCGAAATAATAATATTACAATATTGTATATCTCTATACGTACGTATGTGTGTATTCGTGGGAATAATGTCAGCAAAGTATCTGTGCTGTGTGCGGAGCGGACTCATATAGCTCGGAGCCACGGCGGACACGCCCTCATCGCGTATATTACATATTATATTATATTATTATTATTTTCCGGTCAAAACGCATATTATAAACACATAGCCGGTACCCCCATTCAATATTATTACAATATCGCGGGCTCGCTTTTTATTTCATTTTAATATTATAGGTACGTATCTCAACCGACAAAATCACGAAAAGATCACCGTACGAAAATACGACTTGTTATTTTGTTAACTTCGTATATTAGGTATATCAGGTGTGTCTAATCGTTTGACGTTTTTACTAAATCGCTTGCGCGATGACCCAAAGACGATAAAATACGATAACAGCAGGCGCTGATCGAAATGTTCCGAAGAACACGGCATATTATAGTGACTACTTACGAAATCTGATTTTGTAAATAACTCATTTAACGATTACGTCTATAAACAACGAAAACGCACCGAACGCCAAAAAAGCTGAACGACTGCGACGGAGTGTGTAAGTTTTTAGATTCCGTTAGATTTTTTTCGATGATGAGTTCTGTGCTCGGTAGTGTAATAATTTCGAGTGTATAGAATACTCGGATAGAAATACTAGGTATACACAGTATTTGCAATTAAATCCGCGACTTACCGGAATGAAAACAAACACATACCAATATACCATAACCCCGTAAACTTATACGTATATATATTATATTATATTATATTTGTTTATAAAAATAAAATAGAATATTAATTTGTCTAAACGGAAAAATCTCGTTTTGTTTTCGCAGTCGTTTTTTCGGGCGGACCTACAACAACCTGAGTTCGATATCGGAATGCAAGAACAACGGCGAGTGCGTGATCAACAAGAAGAACAGGACGTCGTGCAAGGCGTGCAGGCTGCGCAAATGCCTGTTGGTGGGCATGTCTAAGAGCGGGTCTCGGTACGGCCGCCGGTCCAATTGGTTCAAGATCCACTGCCTGTTGCAGGACCAAAACGCAGCGGCCGCCGCCGCGGCCGTCGGTCACCACCAGCCGCACCACCACCACCAGCACCACAACGGCAGCAGCCGGTCGTCGCCGCACCACCAGCAGCAGCAGCCGCCGCACCACCAGTCGCAGCCGCCGCCGTTCGGTTCGCCGCTGTACCCGGCCGGTCTGGTGCACCCCGGCCACCATTTCCTGACCACCGACAAGTTCCTGCAGGCCCGGCTCAACGGTTACGGCGCCGCCGCGGCCCTGATGACCGCCGCCGTCCAGGACGACGCGTCCTGCCGGCGCCAGGCGGCCGCCGACGCCATCATCGGCGGACACCACCAACACCACCACCATCACCGCAACCGCCATCACAACAACAACAACAACAACAGCATCAGCAACAACAACAATAGCGTCGACTACCGGAGGCACCGTCACCGTTACGACGACGACGAGGGAGACGACGACGACGACGACGACGATTGCGGCGGAGGTCGCCGTCATCGCCGCGACGACGACGAAGACGACGGCGAACGCAACGACAACAACAACGAAGACGACGATTCGCCAAAGGGCGGACGCCGTCGCCGGCGCCGGCCGTCCGCTTCGGACGATTCGGGCGGCTCGTCCATGCACGACGACGAGGATCATCACCGCGGCAGTGACCACCATCACCGCCGCAAGACCGCCAGTCCCGTGCTCCGGCATCACCACCGCAGCCCGTCGTGCACCGCCGGCGGCACGCCGCCCGCGTTCCGCCAGCTGTCCACGTCGCCGTCCGCGTCGTCCACCGGTTCGGGCGACGCGAAACGCATCCGGTTGTCCGTCAGCCCGTCGTCGGCCACCGTCGGCTCGTCGCCCGTTTCCGGTTTCCACTCGCCCTACTACCCGCTGTCCGTCACTCGGCCCGGGTTGACGCCGTTCGTGGGCGGCGGCCTCACGCTGTCCATGGCCGCGGCCGGCTGGCACGCTGCCGTGGCCGCCGGTCGCACGGCCGCCGGCGGCGATCTGCTGCTGTCCAGCCCGGCGCCGGGCGGCGTGGCCGTCGAACAGGAATACCCCATCGACCTGTCGCTAAAGACAACGGCCGCCAAGTACAACCGGTCGCCGCCGCCGCACGCTCCACAGTCCGCCGGCGGACGGCACTCGGCTACCGACGACCCGGAGGCTGCGGCCACGGCCACGGCGCTGCCGCCGTCGCCGTTAGACCTCACCAAACGGACGGCCGAAGTTTCGTTCGACTGACCGGAACTCGCGAGAAGAACGCTTGCAGCTACTACTACCTAAATCACTACTATACTACTACTACTACTCTACTACTACTGCTACTGCTGCTGCTGCTGCTGCTGCTGCTGTTACTGCTATCTACTACTAGTACCACCTATACCACCAGCGTCTACCGTTGTCGCCGTGTCCAAAAAAAAAGAGGAAATTTTTTTATTTTTTTTTTTTCGGCATCGTCCTAGTCAATTGTATAGAGAATAAAACGAAGTAAAAAATAATGAAAAAAAAAAAAAAACGATCGTTCCAAATTTCGTAAATGCGTCGTCAAGTGCTGCGCCAGTTGTGTATCGCTGTCGAACGACGCCGCGACCCGAATGACCGCGTTTGGACGTCTCGCGGCTTTCGCGAGGAGGAGCGAGTGGGGTAGCACGCGTACCGCGGAATTCGTGATATATATTATATAGGTGATATTATTATTATTATAATTATTATACCGGTTATACGGTTTTACTATTATACGCGGTGCGGTGCTGTGCGTGTTTACATTGCGGTAACCCTGTTGTCCATTTCGGGTTTGGGAGAGACGAAAACAAAACGGGAGAACAAAAACCAAAAAAAAAATAAGAATAAATATACTGCAGTGGGCACACATCTCGTGTCGCAGTGTCAAAGACAATAGGAGTTTGTCACACTCGGTAACAATGCCGGTGGGCGGCTGTCTTCGCGACAACGCATATTGTGCATATTATAACAATATATACATACACAACATACACCCTAGGCCCACACCCGTAATTTATTACCCGTATTTTTATGTTACATATATTATAATTTTATATACGTGTGGTCAACAAAGCAGTAATTTATTTTTTATTTTTTTTTTTCTTAAGACGAAATAAGACAAACTGCATACATTATTTTATTTTATTATTATTATTTTTATTTTTAATATTAATCTTATTATTATTATTATTATTATTATTATTATTATTACTATTATTATTTTAATTATTAGACACGTCATGTAGTTAAAACTTAAAACCGATATTTTGTAATATCGTTTTACTGTTTCTATTTGAATTATAGAATATTAAAAACTGAATAATAAACGAACGGGTCCCGTGTGTTATTGTAGTTAGCTCGTCGTCTATACAAAATACATGTTATTATAATATGGAAATTATTTTTAAGCTGCGTAATATTTCGTAAGATTTAATATTATTACATTTTTAATAAATTGATAAATTGTTATTATTATTATTATTACTATTTTTTCTTTCTTTAAGTTATAGGGATTCGGCCAGTAATAGCATTGTACATACTGTATTTCGTTTAATATTATATTACTTTACTTATGATAAGACGCGTAATTGTAATTTTATTTTATTTTTCGTTATCTATGTATATGTTAAAATAAATTGTATAAATTATTAAAATTAAGAACTTGTTAAAAATGAAGAAAAATAGAAATAAAAAGAAAAAATTAGATTTTAAATACAATGTGGTGTTTTGACTATTTTTTTTTTTTTTTTAATACATACATTATTCCGTGAACGGACTACAAACGTTATGGTTTTTTTTTTTCATCGGTCTAGGTGTAAATGGTAAAATAATAAAAATAACATCGCCTCCATAACCTCGTTCCAATTCGGTCGAACGCTTACCGCGTACTCGCGGAGCAATAAATAATACTTCTTATACACGATGCGCGTTCAATACCGTCCGTGGACTCTTCTGTGTAGGCGTGTTGTTGGAAAAAAAAATAAAATAAATGTTTGAATTATTGAAAAATGCAAAACGAGGAGAATGTGTCGATTTCAGAAAAATAATAATGTACCTACCAATCGGTAATTATACCGACTTTCCTAAAAAAAAAAAAAAAAAACAATAACGGGCTTATATAGCTACCACACTATATAGTGTCAGCGGTATACTCTGCCGCTCGATTGAAAATGCCGAAACAAAAACGCATATTGTAATAGGTATTACACCGCAGCCGGCGGACTACTGCAGGTGCAGTCGCACGGCCGCGGACTGTCGAGGAAGTCACGACGTGTGCAGTGCTCGTGTTTGAAATAAAATAACATTGCGTATGTGTATATTTATAAATCGTTTTTTATTGTAATTTTCTTCCTCAAAGGTCAGCGTAATATAGTCATGTTGTTGTTATTGTGTTTTTCTCGTCGAAAATAAAATCGCGATCAGATTGATCCGATGGGTGAGACATCGGGAAAAATGATACGTTTTGCGCAAAACGTTTAATGCCATCGTCGTGCCCATATTAAATTGCACGCACACACACACACACCACAAATTCAACTAAAGCACCGTAGCCGTGTAATCATTATTACCGCCGCCGCCGCCGCCGACCTTGATAAATAGTGCACGACGACCGGCGCAGAGGCTGTTCAAGACAAGCCGCGTCATCGTCTCCGTCTTAATCGTTTACGATTAGTAAACTAGCAGGAAAAAACGCCGACTGGTACACCTATATTACATTATAATATACGCGAACAATCCTGAAAAAACAATAATAATAATTCGTTCGCACGCGCACAGCGACCAACGGCCAATACGCACATCAACATAATATTATTATTTGTAATGATAATAATATGGTACCTATATACAATAATAATTATCGCAATGCCGATTACCTTTATGTTTTTAATCACAGGACAATCGTCAGGTGGTTTTCTCGAGGGGACAGCACGATTTTAGTGCAATGTGTCACAACAATTATTAACCGATCCGTTTCCTGGTTGATTTTACGATAATATTATTGTTTTAATGATTTCTTGAACGTCGACCGACGTGACGTTTTCGACGGAATCGACCGAAATACGGTATCCGAAAATACGAATTCCGAATTCCGACCACTAACCCGGCGTATTAATAATATTATACATTTATACCGCTAATTTGTCCGGTAAGTCTACTGCATGTCAGCATATCATTGTCGGCTGTCGCCGTTTTAGTTATTAATAATTTAGTCATTACCTTGTCGAATCTAATCGACGAAAGCATTTAAAAATTGTATCAACGACTAAATTATGCGAACTGTGACGCCCGATTATTTCCACTCGCCAATAATTATTATCCGTTTATTTTTATATCAAAACAGACGAATTTTGCGAAACGTATAACGCGCCGATTATACCGACAAACCTCGCCTACACGTTAAACGTATTTTATTGTAATGGACCGCTTTTAGATACGTTTAAATTGAAGTACGGTCTCGGAGTATAATATTATATTGTATAATAATATCAATAATAATATTTTAAACTAAAACTAACTGAGAGTTCCCAAGAATATGATATATATTTTCTATTTTAAAATTTAACTTGAATGTTAGTACTGAGAAAGAGAATCATGTGTACAAAAATAATTTACTTTAAACCTAGACGTCTCAGCTCGCTGGCTAATACCCAAATAATCGAAATTAAAATCGAATAATAACAACAATATATAAATTGGAATCAATCTATATTTGAACAATACGACGTCCTTATGAAATGAATTCACCAATTATTCACGTGTCGTTCGGCATAATAATAATGTTATTATTCTATTTATTGGTTTTGTTTTTTTTTTTAGGTAAGAATTTCGTTCAATCATAATATATACCTACATTTAACGTCCTCGTTCTAAATACAAATATTAAAACCAGTCTAACTGTTGATGATGTACATAATAGTAGTGTATAAAATGTATAATACAAATAAAAATAATAGCCATCTTCAAAAATATGTACTCGACACAGTTTCTAACCTTCCGGTAGTTAAACCAAGCGAGTCAAAAATCGATTAGATGTTCATAACTCATAGTCGAGACGTAAAATATAAAATTCCAAACGTTTTTGCGACCGACCGACTGACGTCTAACCATTCTCTCTAGTCCTTCGATACCGTTTTCATACGACGACATACGCAATAATGAATTGTCCCCGTACGTTTTATAGGTCCACTTTTACGTATTCAGGTCGACTTCCGAAATTAACTACAATAAAAATGTTAATGCTGTGCACGTTGGTAAATGATAAGTCGCGGCCGTCGAATCTCGTCCTACAAAAGCAACCGTTCTGACGGTGGCATCCGCGCCTCGTTCGCTCGCGAAATGACACATTTTCACTTTCTTCCATTTTTATACGCCGGTGCTATAAACATTAATCGTTGTCCCATATAAACACGTGCAACGACGGTCCAGCCTCCGTCGTTTCGCAATATTTTTATTATCACGATCGTATGATATTTTTTTATTATTATTCTATAATTATTATTTAAAACTCGAAACTCCGTAAAAAGCGTTGTAATTTTGATATACGACACAATAACACTAATAGTGCTTGTATAGTTGTATGTAGTTATCGCAATTAGGTTAGGTACCTACATAATAATATGATTATGATGACGGTAGCTTCGACGCGAAGCGCACTGTCAGACAAAATAATATAAATAATATTTATAGTGATATAAATAATGATTTAAATATACTGAACTTGTTTTGGTGACATGACAGGACCAAACACACGTCGTCATAAATATCATAATAATATCTTGCACAAAAATGTAAACATATTATTTTAATTAGAAGTGTTACTACTGTAATGATAGCTACTCATAAGTCATAACTAAATTATTCAAAAAGAGTAGCATCATCATAATATTTCATACATACACCATACTGTTATAAATATGGTTTAAATTATGATGATGAACATCTGTGATCAGATATTGTTATGTCCTTATCTTCATATAAAAGATTTAACCCTACCGGCTTAAACGAGACCCATCGACCATCGGTGACTCGGACTCCATGTCAATCTCCTTTGGTCGTGGTCATACGTTAAGTATTAATTGTATAAATTATCAGATAAAATTTGTGTGTCTTAGATAATAAAAGTGTTACCAAGACAAAAATCAATAAGTATTTTTTCGCCAATATCATGTCGGTACATCATTGAGGTATCGATACCTCGACTGACTAAATCTTTCGTCCGCGGTAACAACCCGTCCAATAACGCCATATCCGACTGAAATCGATGAGGAATTCTTCGCCGGTCTACCAACAGGACTTCATAGTCCGTCGTCAAATATTGTAGCGATTCCATTTGAACTCTGAAGACGAGATGGCACTACAGTCCACCTCGACGGTTTTATTGGAGACAAATAGCCCGAATGAAATCGAAGTGGCGGTTGTTGGATTGGAGACTCGATGACCTGTGATGACGTACATGAAGTTCAAAAATGTTCAAAATTTATTGTGAATAATTGTAATTACCCAAATTTGTAAATCAACAGAAAATTTAGAAAAAAAAAATAATAATAATAAATGAATAATTCGTCGTCTACCAACTTCAAGTGTACCTATACGTCTTGCGGTGCTGGAACAGACTCGCCGCAAAGGCAAAGGTTAAATGTAAACATCGTTCATTACGGTGTTGTCGGACGAAAAAAATTCGTAAAGCGGATGTTTTGCTATGCATATTCCGAGCGTTTCTTGTACTATTTCAATGTATACCCGGAGTTGTAAAGTTTATGATATTTGTATATAAAATATTATACCGCGCACGCAGTCTACGACTATGAATTTAAATTGTTTGAAATGAGTGTGGGTATAAAAATATTTAAAATAATTGTATAATTTGCTACAATGAGATAGAACGTTGAATTATTAATTTGAATCGTACATTTGAATGCACACATTATTTATTTATGAAGGTATATTTCTGCGTAAACTAATAAATTTATTCGTTATATTGTGTTTAATATGTAACACACAAGTACCACTATAATAATAATTATTTGACATGTACGAATAATCACGATTTACCTATTTAATTTAAAATATTTTATTTTTATTTCACTGTGAAAACTTAT